ACACCACCCAACAACCCACACAAAAAAAAAAAAAAAAAAAAGAAAAAAAAAAAAAGGGCCCTTTTTTCAAAAAAAAAAAAAAAAAAAAAAAAAAAAAAAAAAAAAAAAGACCAGATGTCTAATCTGCTTAACATGTGATTCAAATAAAAAATTCAAGTCTTATCTAGCTTCTCTGAAAGCCAGAGCTGCTAGTCTGGGCCCAGGCTCTGGCCTCCACAGGTACCTTAGGCAGCTCTGACTCAAGAAGCAAGTGCCTAAATGTGATCCGTCAAAGGAAATCATACCTGTTATCCTTCAATTTATCCAAGTAGAGAGGACATCCTACAATAAATAATAAGGACTATCTGAGTTTGCTTTCTGTCACTGTGATAAACAGTACAAGCAAAAGCAACGTGGGGAAGAAAGGGTTTATTTCATCTCATACTTCCAGACCACAGTCCATCTTTGAGGGAAGTCAGGTAGGAACCTGGAGGCAGAATCTGAAATAGAGACTGGGGAGAATCCCTGCTTGTGAGCTTGCTTCCCCATGGCTTGCTCAGCTACCTTTGTTCTTTAAAATACAAGGTTATGAGGTATCCCTCACAGTGGGTTGGGCCTCCTACATGGACCAAGAATCAAGAAAATGTCGGGGTAGACACGTCCACAGGCCAGTCTGATGGAGGTGATTCTCCTGTTGAGGGTCTCCTCTTCCAGGTGACTCTAATTTGTGTCAAGTTAACAAAAACGAGCCAGCACAGGGAGTAAACTCAAAAAGAAATTACACTTTATTTTCTATCTCCTCACATTCATCCCAGGGCCTGGTGACCAGCAGACACTGCATTTGTTACACGAAGTAAAGTATCTCCATCCCTGTTCACCTACCTAGATATTAACCCATATCTTTTTCCCTCAGTTTCCCTATTTATAAAACAAGGGTGAAAATGGAACCTTTCTTATGGGTCTCTTTCCAAGATGAAATGAACATGTTCATCATATTTTATGAACTGGTCTTCACCCTACAAATCTAAAGACAGAGAAAGTGAAAAGCAGCTTCTGTGTGCTAGTTCTCAAGTGTACACAAATTATTACCTGCATTTTAATGGCTAAAAGCCATGCCAGCTTTCAACTTGTGATAATCTCCTATTCAGTAAAGGGAATGATCTGAATTGCAAGCTTATTCATGGAACTCAGTAAAGAAATTTTTATTCTCAATGTAAGAAAACTCAACACCACCACAACGTGTCCCTAAGCTGTTTCCTTTCTCCTGAATTGGCTCTGCTACAAATAAATTTGTTCAGCACTGATCCACAGAACGCGGAAATAAGTCATTCCTCTTCTGAAATCTTCATTGTTGACATTGAACATTTGTTTGCTTCAGCAGCTAGTAGCAAAAGGACTGCACTTGATGTCACATGTGGAACTAATTACTTCCTTGATACATTAACTCTTCAAGATTAACATTAAAACCCTCTAATTTCTGTAGACAACTAAGAAAATGAAGAAGCTGGAAAAGGACACAGCTACGTGGAAAGCGCGATTTGAGAACTGTAACAAAGCGCTGTTGGACATGATCGAAGAGGTGAGGAAGGTTTTCACTCAGCTTTCATCTCCCTTTCCCCAATCTCATCAAAATAATCAAAATAACCCAATAGCACAAATGATTGTTTGAAAACAGGCTGAATTTTGAGGGGATGGGACGTATTAAATTATAACGAAAATAGTAAGATCAAAGTCATTTAAAAGCCTAGTCCACAGTCAAAAAGACTTTTGTGAACATAAGTTGCATACAGTTACTGATTAAAAAGATGTTTCCAGAGCAGCACCATGCCTGCTGGACTGGAATTTATTTACTCTTGACTTTGAATTTCTCTACTCTCTAGCAACCAGAAGGTACAATTAATGCATTAGTTTGAATATACTGAGAGATGCCAGCCCAGGGATCCCAGGTGTATACTATTCTGTAGATATATAAGAAGACATATTTTGAAAATTCCTCCCACAGGTATTTAGTGATATTATGCCAGGACCTTCAGGTTTTGCGACTCTAATGGCAAAGACATGTAAGTTCTGACTTCAGTGACAAGGCTTAGAGGTGAAGGCCTCTTCACTTTAATAAGTGAAAAGGGTCTTATAGGTACAGGGTAGTTCAAAGGTAGGGGTAAGTAGTGAGATGATTAGGAACATGTTTATGCACACAAGCACACCACCATTGCTAGGGAAAAAAATTGAACACTTTAAGCAGCAAGCATCATGAATTAGTATGTGGTGAGTTTCTATGGTTGTAATTACTCCTCTAACAATTCATCCCCAATTGCAACCAATTCCAAAGATACATGTTCATTACTCTTCAGCATAAATCAAATGGCTGCTGGGATTAGTATACTGCATTTGCCTATCAAGAACACACATTATCTAGAATACATAATAGAACACTGCTGAGGCCAAGTCCCGGTCCGTCTCATTCATCTCACCTCAAGCTCTGGCTTACATCTTCAAAATCTTAGAAGCAGAAGATTCCTATATATTAAGATTTCTGCATTAACAGAAAGTTTGCTTCTTTCTCCTAAAATAGGCTGTAGTGATTAAAAGTCTATATACAATGGGAAAAAAAGGGAAAGAAAGGAAAGAGGGAGAGAGGGAGCGAAGGAGGAGAGGAAGTAATGTCCCAGACTGCGTGTGTTCCGGCCTAGTAGACAAATTCGGGGACAAATGGTTTTGTCTCCGGGAAACATCCTGGAAATTTTCCTGTTCATGCCCTTTGTATTTGTGTTATCACAGAAAGCACTGAGAGCTAAAGAATACGAATGTTTCGTGATGAAAATCCAGAGGCTAGAGAACCTCTGCCGTGCTTTACAAGAAGAGAGAAAAGAACTCTACAAAAAAATTCGAGAAGCAAAAATGTCTGAAAAGGATGAGCAAGGTCAGCATACCTCCGAAGAAGAGCCGGAATCAAATGCCTCTGAGGATAAAGAGATGGATGTGGAGGAGGCCAGCAGTGTTCAAAACGCCCTGAAAAACCTGGCCACAGCGTTTGCCATACTTCACCATCCAGAGTCCACCCCTGACCAGTCAGAAGAAAGACAACCGGAAGTGAGCAGCAGAGCCCTTGCCCTCCAGCAACTAGAACAAGTCCCTCTGATCCCTGCTGGGGCTTCAGACAATCCTCAACCTCCTGAGGATTCTCAGGTCAAGGCCGACAGGGTCCATGCACCGGCACCTGCCCCTACGGCCAGCAGTGCACCTACAGGGACAGGGGCAGAACTCCAAGGCCAGGGTCTTCCAATTGGGAAACTGTCTGACCTCCAGCCCCAGGAGCCACAGGCAGAAGCTTCGGGTCAGGCCTCAGGATCTCCAGTCCCAGCCTCCTTACCTAGGGTAGAGGCAAGTGGTCCTACCCAACCCCTCCTAGAGAGTGAGCCAGTTCCAGATGGGGTGCCTGGAAGTGAGCCCAGGGGGCAGCCCCGAGTAGCAGCCACCGAGGGGATACCCCCAGGACCGCCCACCAGGCCCTCCAAAGAGGCCAGCACCAATTTGGAAGGAGTAGACTAAGTCTGGTCCTGACTTCAGGCTGTTCTGACTGCATCTTCGTAGTAGCTGAAAGCCTGTGAAAGAGACTTGAAGCACTAGGGATGTCAAATGGAAGAAAGTTAGGGTCAAGACATTTTTAACGTTATCCAGAGCACTTGGAGCCTTTGTTGCTGTTCTCAATTTATAACTGAAGTGGAGCTTTCCTTTAGCACCAAATAATAGTATAATTTTACCATTGGCAGCCAAATGTACCAATACCAAATATATTTTCCATTAAGATGATACTTTAGTCCAGTTCCCTTTTTTATTTATTATTTTTATTTTGTGTGTATGAGTGTATTGCCTGCATGTGTGTAAGTGCACCTATGTCACGCAATGCCTCAGAGGTCAGAAGAGAGCATCAGATCCCCTGGAACTGGAATTATGGAAGGTTGTTAGCTACCACGTCGATGCTGGGAATTGAACCTGGGTCCTTTTGCAAGGACAGCCAGGGCTCTTAACCACTGAGCCATCACTCCAGACCCTAATCCAGTTTATTAATCAACAATAAGATTTAGTGTTTAAACACTTACACTATGATACATAAATATTGACACTGTGATGTTGCATTCATTTCCACAAATAGTTTAATAAATTCTATTACAGTGTGTGTCTAGGCTCCATTTAATAGCATGATAGCATATGTGTTTACGTATTATGTATACATATGTGCATATGTAAATACATGTTATGTGTACATATACGTAAATATTTTATATGCATGTATATAACTTAATGTATCTCTTCTTACATATTTGTGTCTATCAAAATATTTCTATGCTAATCAAAAAATTAGTTCTTACTTACACTTAAGACTACAGTACACTAAAGTTCTATGAATTAGAGATAGATTCAAAACACAAATATTCAGCTGAGTGTAGTGGTGCATGCCTTTAATCCCAACACTCTGGAGGCAGACGCAGGTGGACCTCTGAGATCAAGGCCAGCCACATCTCCATAGTGAGTTCTAGGCTACCTGTGGCTACAAAAACGAAACAAAACAAAACAAAAAAACCCACAAATATTTAGGCCATCACTACAGTGGGCATAAAAAGTAAACCAATCTGAGATACATTCAATTCTTTCAACCAGTATTGATCAAAGGACAGAATAACAGTTGTGTTAGGATGTGTGCAGACAATGTGTACACAAATATGACCAAGAGGGTCTAAATAGAATCTGAAGGAGATAGCTCCTCTCTTCCTATGGTTTCTGAACGTCTCAGGCAGCTTCCTCCCGAGTTCCCCACATCCCTCCCATGTGATGAGTCAACCCACCCCTGGCTACCTGCAAGCAAAGGGAAAGGAGCTAGGATTTGGGAGGCTGAGTGGCCTCAAACTAGAAGAGGACCCTGCCTCTGCTATTGACGTTTCAAGAAAATAATCACTTTTTGCTGTCTCTAACATAGTTTATATCACAAAGCATCTGTTCCTTCCAAATTCCCTCCTCCATATCCTAATTAATGTTAAATAAGACTACTATTTTTTTCCAAAACAGAAATGTATACACAGTCTCCATAGGAGTGATGAGACTTATAAAACCAACACATTTCCTGCACTAAGGATTTTTCACTAAGGATTTTTCTAAGGCCAGAAGTACAGAGTAAAAACACCTCATATGCATTATGAAATTTTCAATAAATTATTTATTTTTTTCAAAAAAGAAGTACAGAGTGAAAACACAAGTGGGTTCCTACTCAAAAATGCTGAAAAACAGCATTTTGCCTTCCAAGAGACAAGAGCTGGAAACACCTGGCCTTGTCTGCACAAGGATTATATTCCCGTTGCTCGACAAGAGCCTTTAATAACACTGACAAACATAAACTGCTGTGTCTCGGGTAAAGGAAGCTTGTAGCAAGGAAACAGAAGGGGGAGGGGAGGAGAGAGAAGAGGAGACAAGAGGAGTAAGAAGATGTCTAGCCCAATCCTTTAAAAGTTGAACTCAAGTAGAAAAATGGATAAAGGAAGATTCTTGACCACTCATCCAGGAAATCATTCTTCAGTGTTGCATGTGGCTGTTTGCCAAGGCACACAAGGAGCTTGTAGGCAGCAGCCACATGTTAAAAGAATTACAAATTGTATAAAGTTTGCTTGAAGTAGACAGTGAGGGTAATAAGAAAAATACTAGTGGGGGAAAAATCAGGAAAAAAAAAAGCATGGCACTATTTAAAAAAAAAGCCATATGTTTTTAGAGGCTTCAAATATTATAACCACATGGGTATCTATCCAAATTCAACATTACTGAAATTAAATATTCATTTAATTCAGAGCCAAGTACTCTATAATAATCAAGGAGAGTCTCCTTTTTCTTTGTTTACAGAAGTTAAACTTTGAAGTACGGAGTAAAATAATCACAATTAAGTCTCAGCCTGAAAGTTTAGCAAGACAAACAGGCATGAGATGTGCTGACATTCAGTAAATCAAATATTCTAACGCCCAAAGTTTTTTATTTTTATCCAAAAGGGTTTCATAGCAACACATTACTTACTACAGTGTATATCTTCAGCACAGTTTCAGATATAATAACTTGTCTGGAATTTGTAACATTTTAATATAGGCTTTAGGAGAATTATTTTAATAGTCTAAGGCTGTTTTATTATAGTTCTTTGTGCTTGAATTTGGCCTTACTATTTATAATAACACATAAGATCTGAAAGAAAATATTTTTGTTCTTTATCAAGTTCTTCTATTTTTATAGATGCCAAATCTTTCTAGAAACACTAAAGTTATTGGTATTTTCTAGATGAAATAATACTTGAGTCTATTAAAAAGTTACTTCTCTGGGCTGGAGAGATGGCTCAGCAGTTAAGAGTACTGGCTCCTCTTGCAGAGGACCCACGTTTGATTCCCAGCACCTACACAGTGGCTAACACCATCCATAACTCCAGTTCTAGGGGATCCAATGCCCTCTTCTGACCTCCATGGGCATAGCATGACATAGGTGCACTATAATACACGTATGCAGGAAATATACTTATAAAAAAATTTTTAATTATATAAGTAAAAAGATACTTCTCAGGGATGGAGAAATGGTTCGGTGGTCTCAGGGATGGAGAGATGGTTCAGTGGTTAAGAGCACTGGCTGCTTCTGCAGAGGACTCAGATTCAATTTCCAGCACCCACATGGTGGCTAAGAATCATCTGTACTAACTCCAGCTCCAGGGGTATCTGATTACCTCCATGGGCATTGCACGACACAGGTGCACTTATACACATGTAGGCAATACATTCATACACATAAAAAGTTTTTCAATTATTTATTATTTTTATTTTATGTGTTTTTTATTTCTTAGCTATTATGAAAAGAGCAGCAACAAACATGGATGTACAGGTATCTCTACAGTGGGATGAGTCCTTTGGATATATGCCAAGGAGTGGTATAACCTGCATGTGTGTAAGTGCACCCATGTCAAGCAGTGCCCAAGGAGGTCAGAAGAAGGCATTGGATCCCCTGGAACTAGAGTTATGGATGGTTGTTAGCCACCATGTGGGTGCTGGGAATAGAACCTGGGTCCTCTGCAAGAGCAGTCAGTGCTCTTAGCCGCTGAGCCATCTCTCCAGCCCCATAAATTTTTTTTTTAATTTTTATTTTTATGTGTATGTGTGTATTGCCTGCATGTAGGTAAGTGCACCCGTGTCATGCAATGCCCGAGGAGGACAGAAGAGGCTGTCAGATTCCCTGGAACTGGAGTTACAGACAGTTGTTAGCTGCCATGTGGGTGCTGGGATTCAAACCCGGGTCTTCTGCAAGAACAGCCAGTGTTTTTAACCGCTGAGCCATCTCTCTAGCCCATAAATTTTTTTTAAGGTATATCTCTTCCCAATTTTTCTAGTACTCTTTAAATTTGTCCTTCATCTGTATTACTTCACTTAGGATAACAGTTTCTAGTTCCATCCATTTACCTGCAAAATTCATTATTTGTCTTCCTTTACTGCTGAGTAGAACTCCTTTGTGTAAATGTACATTTTCATTATCCAGTAGTCAGTTGAGGGACACAGGTTGCTTCCATTTCTTAGCTATTATGAAAAGAGCATCAACAAACATGGATATACAGGCATCTCTACAATAGGATGAGTCCTTTGTATATATGCCAAGGAGTGGTATAACCAGATCATATGGCAGATTCATTTTTAGTTTTTTAAGAGTTCTTTGCAAAGAGGCCGCACAAGTTTGCAATCCCGCCAGCAGTGGATGAGTGTTCCCCTTTCTCCACATTCTCTCCAACATTTGGTATCATTTGTTCCCTTGATCTTAGCAAGTCTGACTGGCATAAGATGAAATCTTAGAGTGGTTTTGATTTGCATTCCCCAATTACTAAGGATGTTGAACACGTTTTAAAATGTTTCTTAGCCATTTTTATTTCTTTTGAAAACTCTCTGTTCAGATCCACAGTTCATAAGTATGTCATCTGTTTCCTTGATTCTCAATTTTTCGTTACTACTTCTGTTTCAACAATACCTACTAAAAATAAATACAATAAAAACATATTGTTCTAGGGGCTGGAGAGATGGCTCAGGAGCTAAGAGCACTAGTTGCTCTTGAAGAGGACATGGGTTTGGTTCCCATTACCCACATGGCAACTAACAACAATCCATAACTCCAGGGGATCTGACACCCTCTTCTGACTTCCGAGGGCACTGCACACATGGGTGCACTTACATACATGCAGGCAAAACATTCAAACACATAAGAAAATAAAAATAAATAAAAATTTAAAATATAAATATACTGTTCAATTTTTGGCTGCGTTTTGGATTCCTGAATAGAATGTATGCGGAATACGCACTTTAGAAGCATGAGGGGAGAGAAGAGGAGGAATCCAAAGAGGAGCGAGCATAACAATAAGGCTACAGTTGAAAAACCACTGAGACCTACAAGAAAGAAGAGCTACAAACAGGATGCCCAGGTGCTGTAGTTTGGATACCCCCAAAGTTCAAGTATTGGAAATCTAGTCCCCAAAGCCACATATATTTGGAGAAAGGACCGGGGTTTGAGAAGTAATCAGGACTAGACAAGATGGGAAGGCTAGGACCTTCATGACATGAGTGGCTTCTGCAAAAGGGAAAAGTGACCTGAGCCAGCCCTGCTTTCTCATCATTTGATACCTTCTGCTCTGCTACAGTGCAGTGAGAGCCCTTACCCATTGCCTGGGTGATATGGCACGATGCTCTTTCTTTACTACATTTGTTTATTTGTGTGTATGTGTATGTTTGTGGGCACATGCATCCACAGCATGGCACCATACTCTTAAGCCTTCAGAACCATAAGTCAAATGAACCTCTGCTCAATAAATTACCCATTTTCCACT